TATATCTGCTTGCTTAATTGTCTGGGTCTTCCAAGAAATTTTAAGCTCCATGAAGTCAGGAATTTAATCCACCTTGTTTACCATTACAAACTTGGGATCACCTAGAATGAGTTACAGTAAATAGTAAATAAATATTTGTTAAATGAACAAATGAATCAATGAATAAATGATATTTGCTTCCCAATTAACTTGCCCTCTTTGGTCCCAGTTCTTTCTTCTGGAACTATATAGATGAAGTTTTCTTTTTCTAAAGCGAACAAGCCTTATTTCTCTCCAGTTCTTCCTCATATGGATATTTACGAAGGAGCTCAATATCTTTTCATATACCCCAAGTGTCAACATCCCCTCTTAAATGTGATCCTAGAGACTATGCACATGAGTCCAGATAAACCCCCAAAAAGTGCAGGGCACAGGAGACTACTGCCTCCTTCTTCCTGAAATTAAACTTACAGGAATGCATCCTAAGATTTTAGTAGCTTCTGTGGCACTCAAGGCCCACCTCTGACTTTCACTGGGTTTACAGCTAAACAATAATTCCAGATCCTTCTCATGTGTCCTACTGATAAGCCAGCTTCTCCCATTCACCATCAAGGCAGTTAACTTTTATAACCTAAGGATCAGAATTTATAACCAAATAGGGATAAATACTAATATAAAGATCAATCTTTGGCCTATTAGGAGAAATCATCTGAAAAACATATTTATCTAGTCCATCCCTCAATAATTCATTAGAGACCTTGTCATGATTATTGCCCCTTTTAATCACTCATGCTCCAGGTTTCCCAAATTTGGTTAATTGGCTGAATTGGCTGAATAATTTGGGAAGTTAAAAATAATAACAATAACAACAAAAAGCTTTCCTTTGTCCAGACATATTAAATCAAACTTTCTAGGAATCAAACTTTCTAAGAATTTTTTTAAAATTCTTTAACCTTCCTTAAATGGAGTAGGGGTACCCACTCTGCACTCTCACAATACCGTAGGCTGTCCTCTATGGACAGAACGTGTCACAGCCCATCATAATTTCTTATTTATACACGTCTGTAACACTAGAAATTAAAAGCTCCACGAGAGTCGGCCCTTTTGTTTTGCTCACCACTACATGCCCATCTTTCAAACATAGAAAGTGCTACATAATTATTAACTGATGAATGACCAAAGCAACATTTCAAACCACTGCATAAATCAATGATGCTATTTTTGGTAGTTCACATAAACAATAAAAATAACTAGAAACAATAAATCGTTGCCTAGTAGGAGTGGAAAAAGGGCTGGAAATACTCCCCATCCAGATATATCTCAGAAAATTATCAAAAGTGTCATATCCTGAAAAGGCCTAAGATAGCTTGCTCTAAATAACAGTATCTCATGTAGCACCTTTCAATCCCATATACTGGATTGAAAGTGTACTTTTTAATGGGCTGCATTTATTTTTCTCATGACTGAATTAGCAAGTAAGCCAAACAAGCAATTATAGTGATAGCCTAACATTTTCGATTTGTCACTGAAACCCACCAGATATAAAACCTGTTGTCCTCCCTATTTATCTTCTCTTCATAAGGTCATAACTGGAAATTATTTGTTCATTTTAATTTATGGGGAAAAAAATGTTTCAACAATTAGATCTTCAGTTCAAGACTACTCTGAGCAACAGAGCAAGACCTCATCTCTATAAAAAATAGAAAAATTAGCTGGGTGTGGTGGCATACACCTGCAGTCCAAGCTCCTTAGGAAGCTGACGCAGAAGGATCACTTGAGCCCAGAAGTTAGAGGCTGCAGTGAGCTATGGTGATGCCCAGGTGTCAGAGCGAGACCCTATCTCAAAAAAATAAAATCAAATTAAAAAATAATTAGACCTTCAAAAGTATAAGGAGAATTTAATAGTTACTTTGAATAATTTTCTACTTAAGTATGAGTAAAAAACAAATGTGAATCAAATATTAAATAGACATAAAAGAAAGTTAAAAATTACATGAGAAGTATAATATCTACATGAAAAAAGTTTTGCGTATGCATTAAATTCAAGTCCATAACACTTTGTTAAAAATAAAGTATACCATTAACTATTTTCACAAATAGCAACAGTCAAAAGAAAATGTATTGTTTTTATCTATTTTCTAGGTTTTTGTCGTTTAAGACTCTACTGACTCTACTACAGCTGTCCATATCCAGAAACTTTGAAGGAAATCCATCCTTCAAACCAGGCTTCAAGATAGAGAAATTGGCTGGACATCGTGGCTCGCTCCTGTAATCCCAGCACTTTGAAAAGCTAAGGCGAGAGGATCACCTGAGGCCAGAAGTTCAAGACCAGCCTGGGCACCATAACAAGACCCCATCTCTACCAAAAAAAAAAAAAGGAGCAGCCCAGTACAGTGGCACTCGCCTGCAGTCCTAGCTACCATAGCTACTCAGGAGGCTGAGTCTCTTGTTCATCCCCCTTTGCTTGAGCCCAGGAGTTCAAGGCTGTGGTGAGCTATGACTGTGTCACTCCACCACAGCCTGGGTGACAGAGCAAAACCCTGTCTCTTAAAAAAAAAAAAGCAAAATCGAAAAGATACAAAAACTAACTGAAATTCATCCTTTGAACACATCTTCAAGTTTCATTTCTTCACTCAAGCTATATTCCCCCCAGATGAGGGATTCTTCTCTGAATTCCTATAGCAATGTGAGAGTACTTTCTAGTTTACAAGATGGTCTATAAGAAGTATGTCATACACATTAGTCTTATCTTCCTAGTTGAATAATAACTATAATCTGTCAGTCTGTTTACATGCCAAGTACTGCT